TCAGATTCCTGCTACACCAGATATGGTCCCCAACCATGGCAAACTCAGCCTGGCCCTGAAATTTATTCCAGCTGGATCAGAAGGTGAGATTTAAAGGATCTCTGGGTTTTTTAGCCATTCTCCTTTACTTGCTATGGTTTCAGACTGGAATGGAAATGTCCGTTCCTTCTGCAATGCCCACCATTTATGACTCCCAAAGGTCCTTAACTGACCTCAAATAGAGTAATGAGAATGAATAAAACTAGTATTTCATAGAGTCCTTGAGGGGACCTTGATGGTTATTAGTCCAACCCAAGAACCTCTCCTTGAGGGAGATGGGCAGTCTAGAAACATGAAATATAAATAAAAGCAGGAGACCTTATACTATCTTGGACAATGGTTGTCCAATTGTTTCTTGAAAACCTCCAATGATGGAGTGCTCACAACTCTAGAAGGCAAGCTGTTCCATTAATTAATTGTTCAGTCGGGAAATGTGTTCGTGGTTCCAGGTTGGATCTTTCTTTAATGAGCTTCCTCCACCCATTGTTTCTTGTCCTGCTGTCTGGTGCTTTGGATAATAATTCTACCCCTTCTTCTCTGTGAGAGCCCCTCAAGTATTGGAAAACTACCATGTTACCCCTTAATTCTTCTCTTCATTAGGCTAGACATACTTAGTTCCCTCAACTGTTCATCGTACCATTTAGCCTCCAGACCCCTAATCAACTTTGTTGCTCTTCAAATTTGCAACTTCAAATTGTATAACCCAGTTTCATCGGGGAGAGGGGCAGGACTTGATTTTATACAGGAAGAAATACTGAGATAGTCCTCTAAATAATAATAAAAGAATAAGAAGAGACAATTCTTACTAGTTGGTGGGTTGGGTGAAATGCAGCTGATCCATCACTTTAAAAATTCTGATGTTTGAGGAGAAGGGGAAACAGTTCTATTTTGTGCAATCGGTGATCTTTCTCTCCACTGGCTTTAAAAGGGAGGAAGCCCTCTCTTCCAGTTCTAGGACAGTGAAAAACATGGGCTGGTTTTCAGGGCTCTTGGGGGAACATGTTCCAGAGATGCAGCTGTGTAAAAAGCTATAAAAAAACCCAAACAAATACTTCTGGCACTTGAAAACCAACATATTTATTACTGCTTTTGCAGACTCCAACCCACTGTCACTGGCAGGCATTTGTGCTCAAATAAACTTCTTTTATGATACCTTCGAGAATAACAGTTCATTGTTTTGGGAGGAATCCAAGGGACTTTGACTCCAGAAATCATTAATTAACTCTGGGTGCTGGAAGAAGCTCAGGTTCTAAAATCTGGAGTAAGTAACATAGATCTGTAATCTTTGCATGATTTTGGCTAAGGAAGGGTATTGAATTAGAGGTTGGTATTGTGTTGAGGGTGAAGGATATGTCTTCCAGAGTCCCCTTTCTTAACACAATTGTATTTCAGAACCAGGACTTCCTCCCACCGGAGAACTCCATATGTGGGTCAAGAATGCAGAGAACCTTGTACCTCAGTGGGGAACCACAGTAGATGCCTTCGTTCAATGGTAACTATCAGTGGTTGTAAGTCTCTTGTAATGGGGAAAGATTTGGGTTGGCTAAGCAACTGAAGGCCAGGCAAGTATTACATAGCTTGATGTGTATATAAATGTCCCTGGCCTTTCTCAGTAGGACAATCAGAATTATTCTGTCTGCCTGTCTCTTTTTCTCCTTCTGTCCCCAGAAAGACCTGCAATATATTTCTTCTCTCATTCTTTCTTGATGACAGGAAAATAAATGTATTTAAAATGAACCTGTTATCTATACTTTGAAGGTTTATAGTTGGTTATAGAAGTTGCTCATGATAGTTTATTCAGAGGTTCCTTTTTTAAAAAAAAGAATCGATGTCACACTGGTTGTGTTTACACGCCAATTCCGCAGAGTAAACACTATAATGGGTGGCATCAGACAGCCATGGATGCGGTGGTGATAAGTAGTAGCTGGCTTCTTATGGTTGCCTATCCGCCATAAGTGTTTGCAAACTGTTCTTTTTTTCTATTTCTCTCTCTCTCTCTCCCTTTATTTTTTGGGGAGTGGAGAATCCATGATGACCCAGTCAGTACTGGCAGTTTACTTCTCCCCACTTTTTTTGCCCTTTTTAACCCCACATACCTACAAAAGGGAAGATAAAAACTTTTAAGAAAGAAGGATTTTCTAGATTTACCTTATTTTATTGCATCAGCACCCAAAAGACAGTTAACTAATGTACTAAAGTCTTGTAGAAGAGCTCCCAGATCATTTTTAAAATTCCTTTTCACCCAGTGCCAGGGACACAACAGAAAATCCCCCACTCATTTGGGCCTAAAAGGGGAAAAATATAGAGACACATGGTTGTAAGGTTCTTGGGGCACTCAGAACTTGGTTGTTTTCTTACCAGATGTTTCACTACCCAACTAGATAACATCATGAGTGCTAAAAGGGAGAGTGGGGTTTGCTCTGTTTACATACAAGTTGTTTGCCCTGTCTGTGTTGGTGAGTATTCTTGGTGGTTGCTTGATTAGGTTGTTTTTAATTGTTTTCATTGTTAATTCCTTGATTGTGTTGTTGTTTACAATTTTGTTGTTTGTCTGGTGTTAATCTTGATGTTAATCTCAGTTTATCTGGGTGTTCTTGCCGGCAGGGAAATGTTTGGGCCTTTTTATTCCTTTTTTGTTGTTTTGTCGTCTCTTTTAAATGGTAAGTAGATGTTGTTTACCTCTCTATGGCTGTTGATAGCTGCTTTGTCTGTCAGGCTTCCAGGAATTCTCTAGCATTTTTGGACTTGGCTTGGTCTAGGATGCTGTGTTTCCCATTTGAAATTATGGTTAAGCCTGTCTGTGTGTTGTGCATTTAAGCAATTCCCATCGTGGTGTCCTAGTAATCTGTTTGTGTCTATATTGGATGGGCTCCTGCATGGCACAGAATGCTAGTCTTGGGGTGTTTGTGCAGTGGTGCACTTGGATAATTTTAAATTCTGGACTCAGTGAACCCGATGGAATTCAAGTGCCCTTGTCAATGGATGGGACTTCTCTTTAGATGTAACTAGACAACTGTGTGATTTGTTGGGTCAACCCTTCAAAGAAAGGTAGTGCAATCTGATGTGACCAGAATGAACATTACATTTTAGGTTGACTGTGGGTTTCTCCCCCCCAATGCTGAATGGTCCTATGATCATCTAAGGAGAGTATATATTATAAATGGAAGATTAATTGTAGTGGCAAACAAACTTTTAAGGAAGAAAAATCCTGGGGAGGAAAGTTTAAGCCCTTTTTGTAACAGTCTTGATCCAGCCCACACACACATCCTAACACAGAGCTTCTTTTTGTTAAATAAAATATGTTATTAGTTTGGTTCAGTTAGTTTGATCCCTAATTTCTCAGTGTTCAGCCCTCCCTGAAAAAGTCTACTGTACTGTAATCAATGGGCAAAATATCCCCGCAAAGAGCTCAGCTTGCACTATATTGGTTTGATAACAACAAACCAGGAAGTTGGAAGCTTGGCTATTATTAAAAGAACCAGCTGGGCCATGCCCAAGTTGAAAGAACTCTTTCCTGTCCAGGTCAGGCCGAAACTTCAAAAATATCCATCTTATCTCCTGATCCTCTTCTAGCTACATCCTCCCTGATGATACCAAGTTGAGTCGCCAAAAGACCCGAATTGTGAAAAAGAATCTCAACCCCACTTTCAATCACACTATGGTCTATGATGGCTTTGAGCTTAAGGACTTAGCAGAGGCATGTGCTGAATTCACTGTGTGGCACCGCGAGACTTTCTCGAAGCATCGGCTTGGAGGCATCCGGTTGAGTCTTGGCACAGGTGAGACACCAAAGCATTAAGAGAATGAAGGATGGATGTACAAAAGCCTGTTGTTTTGGAAAGAGAAAACTGGAAAATTTCATCATGCTCCATTCCTCTTCTGTTCCACGTGAATCTGGGGTAATTCAGTTTTCCAGAAATTAACTCTCCTATTTGTTCTAGAGCAGTAACCCAACCCCATAATAAGTGTCATCTAGAACATAATATCTTGAATGCTACTTCAAACCACATGGTTTGGAAAGCAATGTCTGGAAAACTAGTAAATGCCCCTCACTCCCCAAATCAAGATGACCCAAAGGAGGAACAGTAAGTTTTCCACATCCTTAGAGATAGTTAATTGAATAAGAGGTCTACAACTCCTTGTTGAAGACTCAGTAGCCAATGCTGCATGCACGCACATCTTTGTTTACGTAATAGTATGCCCTGATCCTAGGAATAACAGTGACATTCTGTATTGTGTTCCACTAATTCTTATCCAAAAAATTTGTTTTAGAAATCAGACAACCTGCCTGCAAAATACGTTTTATCGTATATAAGGTAACCTCTGACTGGAGACTCTGCTTTTATTGCAGGAAACAGCTATGGTCTACCAGTCCCATGGATGGATTCAACTGAGGAAGAGCGCCACACCTGGGAGATGGTATTCAAGCAACCTCGACAGTGGGTGGAAGCTACTCTTCCCTTGAGGACCAACCTGACTTTAAGGACTTCATCCTAGACTTTGGCTGAGGATTCCTCTGCTATCAGGAAGAATTAGTCTGGTGGCAAATTAAGGACCGTAACCTTATGGAGGCCCTCATTACAAACCCCCCTGGTTTTGAGAGGTTTTTCCTAGGATCGGGATCCTGATGCTGAGAAGAGCTATGGGACAAAGGCAGAATAAAAATATGTGAAGTCTGCCTCCTCTTACTGACTCAAGGAGGACATTGTGTGGCTTCTCTTGTGATAAACCTCCACACTGGGATGACTGGAACACCTACTTTATTTCAAGGAAATAAACTGCCTTATGGTGACCTTTGCCCATTTCCAGTGTTCTCCATGCACATGGTCAATGATTAATACTATATTTTTAAATAACCATTTTTATTAAACTTCTCTGCACCCCGCCCCAGCTTCGTTCCTGGCAGAGATCCAGAGAAACGTAAACAGTCCCATGAAATCATCTTTACTTTCTATAGGTCCCTTAAAGCCTGGCTTGCAGGGTCTCTCCCTAACACACCACCAACCCGCACAGCTGCGTTGCTCTGTTGGTGGTTAGAGACTGCAGGCTTGGAGGGGAGGCGATGTAGAGCAGTCCAAAATCGCCGAATTGATCTCGGTAGCCAAGATGAGGCTCGCAACAGAGAACTCCTGATCCTGGAGCAGCTGCTCTCTAATAACAGTAATCACAACATTCTTCTGTCCTTTTGGGGGACTTTCAGCAAGAAAACCCTTTTGTGCTTTTTCTCAGTCCATAATGCACTTCGCTGAATTTAGCAGAAAGTCTTCCACGGAAACTGCCTCTGTGAGGTTCTCCCCAAATCTGTTCGCTCCGAAGATGATTTTTTTTTTTTGGTCATTTTCCTGGGCCAAGGAAAGATAAAAAGCTAATATCTGACCTCAATATGAGGACAAGTTAGAACATTTTTCCAGCCCTATATCTCAACTGCTGGTTGAGAAGATGATAGGCCAGGCAACCAAAGTCCGTGGCCTTGCAAAGAAATCCAAGGCTTCCTTTCCTCTTTCTTCTCACGGTTGCTGGTGTAGCTGCTGCTGCTGGGACAGGTTCTGTCGGTGGTCCATGATGGCTTTCCAAATACGGCACACCATTCCCCCTCTGCCAAGAGAAGGCAACCAATTAACCAACTGGCATCTCTACGGCTGCGGAAATGAACATTTTTGGTAGGTCGAAAGTAACACCGAGCAGAACAAAAGGGCAGCTTCCTGCGGTTCCTCCTTATTGATATGTGGCACGCTTTTAGAGGAATTAATGGGCTTGCAATTTTTGTAAACCTTTCTATTGTTGCAGGATCACAAGATCAATCCCCAGGAGCTCCCAAATAAGGGAGAAAGAGAAACAGCCCCCTCTTTGAAATGTTAGAGACGTTCTGCTTAAATATGCATTTTTTTTTCTTTAGTAATCAAAAGTAACACTGGTGCCAAGGATAATGCCAAGTTATCTGCAACAGGTGCAGCTGGCATCTGCATGATGAGTGGGATGATACTTAAATCTTACGTGTGTGATAATACTACCCAAACTTTTCAGGATTTTAAATCATTAATGAAAATTATCTTTCAAGCCTTGCTTATCAGGCAAAATTACATTGCTGGTCGTGAAATGATTGCCAATTTCTACCCTTACCTGATGCATGTGTATCGGAGATCATCGATTGTAGCCAACTTCAGCAAATCATTCAGGGTGAATCCATGGTAGCAGAACTTTTAAGAGAAGAGGATAGTTTCAATTACTGGCTTGATTTACCTCTCAGGTTTCCTGCAAGCTCAAGTGTGGAACACGGAATTTCTTTTGCCCGATCGATTTTTAAAGCCACCCCACCTTCCATCACCTTGCCAAACGGGTTTAATGGCAAGCAAGAGAGGATGAATGGCCCCAAGTCATCTTAGGAAGTTGATGGCCCCAAGTTATCTCCACAGTTGAATGGAGTCTTGACTGCAGACTTCCCCTGGTCTTTGTCTAACCTAAAGGTCTCCAAACCTGGTAACTTTAAGACTAGTGGACTTCAAGTCCACTAGCCTTAAAGTTGCCAAGTTTGGGGACTCCTGATCTAACCATTATGCCACAAATCTGGGAAAACAGAAACTCTGCCTCTAAATGTGGGCATATGTTAAGGCGAGTTTTCTACTGCTACTTTGAGGCTAGAGTGGCTTTTTGTTTGAGGAGACAAAGTTTTAACCTAGAGTGGCCATCTTTTCTTCCCCACCAGCCTCACTGAAGTAGGGGCAGATGTTGATACCCCCTGCTGCTGAATCGGACCTACCATGGCCACTGTGGCTTTGTCTGCTCCATGTTTCTCTAACCACTCTGCCAGGAGGGGATCTCCAGCGTTTTCTTCTTGGTCCCAGGAAGTTGGAGAAGGAGGGATTTCTAGGAAGGCAGACAGAAAAGAATCGAATCAAAGCTCCTTCTTGTTCCCTGAATTCTGTTCCCTGAAACTACACTCCATATGTTCCCCACAATTCCTCGCTTCAGATGGTCTTTGTTGTTGTCCTTCCCCAAACTGTATCCAGCTCCCCTCCTGGCGGAAACAGAAAGCTGGGAGGACAGGCAGAAGAAGAGGGTGTGCGGTTTCACAATTGGGAAACAGAGACACAAGTCTAGAAAACAAGTCACACGTTGCACCGGGCCAAATACGATCCTGAAAACAGAAGACTTCAACAAGAAGGTTCTGTTTCTTCTGCTCTCAAGGCTGCAGCGGAAAGATTCAAGAGCCACGTGCCCCTTTGCTACTGAATTCTAATTTTAATATTATCAATAGATAAATATATGGAGTTCCCACAACACACTTCAAGTGGAAAGTTCAAGACTGAGGAAGCACATTGGCCCAATAAGATAAGCTTAATTAATCCATGAAGGGTTTAATGTGTGCGCTGCTGTGTTACAGGAACCTAATCAAACAGTTCTGTTAACACTACATAAAAGTAAAGTGCAACCTTTATCTTGAACAAGTTCACAGCAGTAGGTCAAAACATATTTTGCACAGAGAAAGCCTCTTGAGCCACTGCATGGCAACTGCCACTGCAGATGGCTGGGAATATGAAACCTGTTTGATGCAGAATTTGTCCTGATCGAAGGCAATTTTCATAAATGAAGGCAAATAGACTTGTCCGTGGACAGTGGTTCCCAAACCTTTATGGGTTGGTGGCCCGATGCAGGTGGAGGGGAGAACGGGAGGTTTTGTGTGAGGGACAGGCATGCGTGCACATACAGCTCATGCAAGTGGGGCTGCGAGTGTGCATGCGCTCTCCTGCCACTGGTGTGGCCTGGTTTTGAACAGGTCCACAAGCCAGTAGTTGGGGACCCTTGTCCCAGGATAATGTTGCAGGATCCAATCTGGGTCGGTCACTAGGATCAAACCTCAGAAGATTAAACCTCTGGTCCCGGTAGCCAACCCAGATTGGATGCTAAGACAACTTTCCACAAAGAAGTACCTGGACGTGCACAGATTCTACATTTAAAAATCTCACAGATTGGATTTCCCAAGGAACAAGTTATTCGGACTCGATGGCCTGAATTAAGTCCTTTGTCTCTTGCAAAATTGGAGGTAAGTCAAATAAGTTGTCCTCCACGCAGCCACGTCTTCCCTGGGAAAGAGGGCAGATGCAAAAAAAGGCAAGCATGGCTATGCAACTGAAGCTCCGTCGTGCATATAAAAAAGGGGGCACAGCTTTGGTCATAGTGCCATCTTCATTCTTTTGCCTCTCCCAGATGTCTTTGCCTCTGTGCCAGTCTGTTTACAAAGGTTCCACTTCAACTCTGCTAGGCACATGAATAGAATTCACTGAGGCAGAAATTTTATTCCTCAGCCATTGGTTCTAGTCTAAACTGGCTGCTATCTGAAACCTCACCTATGATCTGTGGCCTTTTCAGAGACCAGGTGTTCTGTTCCATGATCTTCAGGGCTTCTTGTAGGAGCCCCTGACATTCGTGCTGCTTCTCCGCCAGTTTCCACTGCAATCTGCCAGAGCCAAAAAGATCGGGATAAGACGGTCAGTTCCTACATTTCAAACCTGATTAGTGAGTAGACTTAAATCAGGGCTTGGTTTGCACTCATTGCTAAGCCTTAATGTGGCTTGATTCTTTCTGACATAGCATAATAGGTAAATGTAAAAGTTCTCCTCGCACATACGTGCTAGTCTTTTCTGACTCTAGGGGCGGGGTTCTCATCTCCGTTACAAAGCCGAAGAGCCAGCGCTGTCCGAAGACGTCTCCGTGTCATGTGGCCGGCATGACTGAACGCCCAAAGTGCACGGAATACTGTTACCTTCCCGCCAAAGTGGTCCCTCAATTTCTACTTGCATTTTTAACATGCTTTCGAACTGCTAGGTTGGCAGAAGCTGGAACAAGTAACGGGAGCTCACTCCATTACACAGCGCTAGGGATTCGAACCACTGAACTGCTGACCTTTCTGATTGACCAGCTCAGCATCTTAGCCACTGAGCCACCGCATCCCTCTAGTATAATAGATGAATCATGCTAAATAAAAAACGAAGAAAGTTTAGTTGCCTTTTGGGGGAAAACCATGAACTGGATGATTGAGAATCTCCACAGACATATGTGTTCAGGTAGTCCTCAACTCACAACTACAATTGAGCCCAGTATTTCTCTTGCCAAGGGAGACAGTTGTCTAGTGACTTTTACCCCAGTTCATAACCTTTCTCACCCCAGTTGTTAAGTGAATCACTGCAATTGTGAAGGTGGTGAAGTCAATCTGGCTGCTCCATTGGACTTTCCTTGTCAGGAGGTCACAAAAGGAGATCACATGAACCATGATAAATACATACTAGTTGCCAAGCACCCTAATTTTGATCACATGCTTATGCAGATGCTACAATCGTTGTGTGAGAAACGTCACTTTTTTTCAGCACCGTTGTAACTGAACGGTCACTAAATAAATAGGAAGTCAAGAACTAACTCTACTTACTTGCAGATGTTCCTGCAGATGTTCCTCTACTTAACTTGCAGATGTTTTAAAGAAGTCTCCAATCTTGGCAACTTTAAGACTTGTAGACTTCAACTCCCAGAATTCCTCAGCCAGCATAGCTGGGAGTTGAAGTCCACAAGTCTTAAAAGTTGCCAAGTTTGGAGACTTCTGCATTAGTGTGTCGTTCTTTCTTTTTGGTGTAAATATCCACATAGGTCCTCCTGAACTAGGAGGAGGATTGGGACCTCAGAGATCAGGAAAAGGTAGCAGCATTCACATCCCCATAGCCATTACGGTAGTACCTCAGTACTCATCGTTAATTGGTTCCGGGAGACATGAAGAGTACCAAAAATGATGAAAACCAAACAAATTTTTCCCGTAAGGAATAACGTAGTAAGTGATAAGGCAACCAACACCGACAAGTTCTAGCTTCAGCCATGGTGATGCAGTGGTTAGAATGCAGAACTGCAGGCTAACTCACTGCTCGCTCCAGGAGTTCGATTCTGAACAACTCAAGGTTGACTCGGCCTTCCATCTTTACGAAGTTGGTAAAATGAAGACCCAGACTGTTGGGGACAATTTGCTGACTCTGTAAACTGCTTAGAAAGGGCTGTTTAAGCACTGTGAAGCAGCATATAATTCTAAGTGCTTTTGCTGTTATACGTTGAGTGCCAAACAAACAATGAGTACCAGGTCAACATTTTTCATTTAAAATGCGTTGAAGTACCAACTTCGATGAGTTTTGAAACAATTAAGTACCAAGGTACCACTGTAATCTGATTAAAATTCACTCCTTCTCCCAATCAGGGTTCTTGTTTTGAGGGACAGCATTTCCATCTGTACTGAAGAAAGCCATTTCTCGGTGCAAAGACCAGTGTTGGGGAGCTATGCTGGCTGGAGAATAACAATAGCAATAGCACTTAGACTTATATACCACTTTATAGTGCTTTACAGCCCTCTCTAAGCAGTTTGCAGAGTCAGCCTATTGCCCCCAACAATCTGGCTCCTCATTTTACCCACCTCAGAAGGATGGAAGGCTGAATCAACCTTGAGCCTGGTGGGATTTGAACTGCCAAATTGTAGGCAGCTGGCTGCAGCAGAAGTAGCTTGCAGTACTGCACTCTAACCACTGCGCCACAGAGGCTCCTAACCACTGCGCCACAGAATCCTGGGAGTTGAAGTCCACAAGTCTTAAAGTTGCCAAGTTTGGGGAGCCCTGTTTTAAAGGATGTCTATTTAACTAGCTGCACCGCTGCACAGTGGCTTAGTGCAGTTCCAACCCCAGTGCTTCATCCCAGCCCTCCCAGCATCTCGGATGCAATTCAGGAAGAACTGACCTTCTGGTTTCTTCCTGCAGATGGTTGAGTTGAGTCATGAGAGGTACATGGCTCTTAAAGGAAGGCTGGGAATCCAGCCAACTGTTGGTGTCGGTGCCAATTCCGGACGTTGGCGTATCTGCACTGTCCTTGAGGTCGCTCTCCTGCTTTTTCAAAGATGGGGGCTGCTGAGTCAGAACTGGTTCCTCGTGTTCTCGGCTGCTCAGGTGATTCTGGCTTTCCTCCTGCAAATTCTGCGGCTGCACCTTGAGTTCTGGAAGAGCGAGCGAGACACATGAGCAAGGCAAGAACTCAAAACTGCAGGAAGACTAGAGGCCATCACTGCTAGCTAGATGGTACATGGTGATAGCTAGATGGTACATGGTGATTTGAAACCTGAGATGGATAATCTCACAAAATGGCTGTCAATGCAGGGGGGAAATCACGTCTCCACAAAATGGCTTTCGAGCAGCTGAAAACGGGCTGAAAACAGTCTCCTGCCACTTCCTCAGACGCTTTTAACCTCATGAGTTTATCTTTTATTTTGGGCAGGTGGAATTGGGTTACAGTTCCCCCATCCTTTATTTCTCTTCTATAGAATTCTATAGGCAGTGGGAGGCACAGAGGCCCTCTCAAAAATAAGTTATTATTTCTGATGCTTTGCACCAAGCAGCATTTTCACCCCTCCTCTCCTTTTTAATTAAATGCCTCTGTAAATACATGAAGGGAGGTAGACAAAGGAGGTGTCTGCTAATTCACCAATGCCTGTAGATAGATTGTAGGAGTAAACAAAAAGTAAAAACAACTGAACAGCCTATTCTGTCATGAAGAAAGTATTTCACGTTCAATCCAGACGTCTCCAGTTCGAGGGACAGAATAGTTTTTAAAAAGTCTCCAAGATTTTTTAGATATACTTTTGCACACTGGCCCTACATGATCTTGGTGAGTTGGGATGTCACAGGAAAAAAAAATCCTTAAGTTATGCAGAAGAGAGTTTTAGAAGATAGCAGTTCTTCCTACAGAGATAAAAGGAGCCAAAATGTGCCAAAATTCTCTTCTTGACAGACTAAGTTATGTGCAATCTATTTTTCTAAAAGAAAACCCCTTCAGTGTAATGAAGTGACTCACCTGAAGTCCCATATTCATCAATATTATTTTAAAACTAACAAGCAGCATTCTGCACCTGGTAATTATAGGGGGGAAAAATCATCCTTATCATCTATTCCCCAGGAATTCCCTTTAATTCATGTGTGTCTCCTGCCCAAAATGGTTTCAACCTTACTCTAACAGACTCTTTGTTCTGCCTTTAGTGTTTAACAAAACTCGTTTCTCTAGTTATGCATCTCAATTAGCATTTCTCAACCTTAGCGGGCTGGCTGGGGAATTCCAACAGTCCACACATCCTTCAAATTGTTAACGTTGAGAAACGCTGATCTAGAGAAAAGTGCATCAGCCCATATAAAATGTCCTAGATCAAAAGAATGTTGCCTGACCAAGCAATGGCTTGAGTGTTTCTGAAAAGTGATGGATTTTAGAGATTGTCATGCGTGGCCGGAGCACAATTTCTTCTCTCCAGCTCTCGGCTCCAATGTCTGGGCTACTCTTGTTCTTATATTCAGGCCTAAACCAACTTTCTTCTCCCTCCCTTTCGTCCTACCTTCCAAGAGGGCGGTCAAGGTTGCCTGGACTGCTTGCCCCATGAGGTTATCCAGGGCGAACACCCAGTGTGGCTTAATTTGGAGCTTCCGTAGCATGTGCTTTACCTAGAGAGGTGGGACAGAACAAGTGTGAGAAGGTTGGGGGCACCCTCATTTGATGCAGCATGAGTCAGTCTTCCAATAGCATTTAACAACAGCAATAACATATAGGCTATATATATACTTATTCCCATAGTGCTTTACAGCACTCTCTGTGTGGTTTCCAATGTATTTCCATTATTGCTCTCATTAATCTGAGTCTTCATTTTACCGACCTCCAAAGAATGGAAGGCTGAGTCAACCATGAGTCCCATCAGGATCGAACTCCAGGCTGGGGGCAGAGTTTGCCTGCAGTATTGAGCTTTAACCACTGCACTACCAGGGCTCATTAGAGATGAGAGGGATTGATACAGCCCCATAGGGCTACATCCCTATATATCACAGTTTACCTACTATCCTGAATAGTCGCATAGTTGACAGGAGCACAACCACATTAGTTTTTAAAAGGCATAGTTGTTCATTTGGATTGTCTGTGAACTTACCCAATTGAGCGTTCTTCAATAAAGTATCATTAAAGAAGAAATGAGCCGTGATGGCTCAATGGTTAGAATGCAGTATTGCAGGCTAATTCTGCTGACTGCCAGCAGTTTGATCCTGACCGGCTCAAGGTTGACTCAGCCTTCCATCCTTCTGAGGCTGATAAAATGAAGAGCCAGGTTGTTGAGGGCAATATGTTGACTCTGTAAAACGCTTAGGGCTGTAAAATTCTATGAAGCGGTATATAAGCCTATTGTTAAGTGCTATTGTTATTGCATGATTCACAGCAGTGAATTGAATTTCAGACCATTGGTTTTTCAGAAACTTTCCAGTTTTAAAAGAGCTTAGATAACTCTGATCTGTTAAGTCATCATTCCAGAGATATTTTCTTACCTTTTAAACAAGGAAACGGAATGACCACGGATGAAGAAAGAAGCAAAAATTCTCCAAATTGCAATGCGTGGGAGTTATCGTTCCAGATTTGGGGTGCATTCTTTAAATTAGCCCATTTGAGATACACTGATTCAAAAATGGTTGCCTCGTGATGCACTGTTTTGCCCAATTGAAGGTTCCATGAAATCAAATGGAGTTTAAATAATATATAGATCCCAGCTGCAGAAAATTTTAAGGAAGCTAAAGACTAATTCCTGGAATGCTAATTGTGAGATACTCACAGTGTCCTGGAAGGCAAAGAGTGGAGCCTGCACCTGACAAAGGCTCAGCCCATCAGACTGCAAGCGAGCCTGTAACTGGAGCAGGCTTTGAACCAGCTGTTTGCGGCCTGGGGAACGGATGTAGCTCTTGAGACAGGAAACCAGCTCAGCAATGTGTTCCAACGGCAGCACCCTCTGTGGAGGAGAGGAAGAGTAAGACAAGGCCCTCATGGAATATAGATCCAGGAATAACTGCTGCAGGGTTACTATAGATATTAGATGCACAAAGATGGAATACCCATAGTGGAAGATGAGATTACAAATAAGATGGGACTGATGGACATTTATTTTTATTCATTCATTCATTTTGTATCTATCTATCTGTCTGTCAGTCAGTCAGTCAGTCAGTCAGTTTCTATCTGTCTCTGTCTATCTCTATCTATCATCTATCTATTGATCTATCTGTCTGTCTATCTATCCATCCTCTCTCTCTCTCTCTCTCTCCCTCCCTCCCTCCCTCCCTCCCTCCCTCCCTCCCTCCATCCATCCATCCATCCATCTATCTATCTATCTATCTATCTATCTATCTATCTATCTATCTATCTATCTAATTTATATAGCCACCCATCTTATATCCAGGCAGCTCCCAATCAAACATGGAGGAAGTAGGAAATAGTGAAATTATGCAGTTTGGACTGGGGAAAAACCCATAGCAATAGCAATAGGACTTAGACTTCACAGTGCTTTTACAGCCCTCTGTAAGCGGTTTAGAGTCAGCCTATTGCCCCTGACAACAATTAGGGTCCTCATTTTACCAGCCTCGGAAGGATGAAAGGCTGAGTCAACCTTGAACCGGTCAGGAACAAATTCCTGGCATTGAGGAGTGAGTTAGCCCTGCAGTACTGCATTCTAACCACTGTGCCACCAAGGCTCTATCGCCAAGGGTCTTCAAACTTGGCAAGTTTAAGACTTGTGGACTTCAACTCCCAGAATTCCTGAGCTAATATGACTGGAGGAAGAATTCTGGGAGTTGAAGTCACAAGTCTTAAAGCTGTCAAGTTTGAAGACCCCTGCATCCAAAGACTGTTTGAAAAGGCTGAAAGTCTTATGCAGACTTTTTGAGAAAAAAAGAAAACACCTCATTTTCCCTCCAAGCTCAGGATTTCGCAGCACAGCACTTGAGAACAGGAGAAGATTATTACGGGTAGTCTTCGATTTACGACTACAATGGAGCCCAACCTTTTATGTCGCTAAGCGAGACCATTGCTAAGTGAACCTTACAACCTTTCTTGTCACAGAACTTAAGTGAATCGCTTCCAATTTAATTTAGCAACATAGCTTGTTGAAGGGAATCTGGGTTCTTTAGTTTAGTTTACTTTATTGTCATTGCACCTCGTACAACGAAATCAAACACCATCTTCAGTGCACATCATGACCATGGAAATAAACACAAACACACATCCTTCACACTCCACACATTGAACCGAAAACCTGCAACACCACACCAACACTGCACTATACAATAGAATTCAACAGAGCTACTGCCCTGGGATAGAAGCTGTTTTTCAGCCTATTTGTCCTTGTTTTTATTATCCTGTACCGTCTGCCAGATGGTAGTAGTTAAAAAAAAAAAGGGTTCCCAGGACGAGATGGATCTTTGAGAATGTTTTGAACTTTCTTAAGACAGCGGGAACTATAAAGCTCTTCCAAAGAGGGGAGAGAACAACCCATGATCCTCTGGGCAACGATGTGAACCCTCTGGAGTGCTTTCCTATCTGCCCCTGTGCAATTGTTCCCCATTGAATTTGGTTGTCAGAAGGTTGCAAAAGGTGATCACGACCCCCAGGACACGGCAACTGTCATAAATATGGGTCAGTTGCCAACCATCTGGATTTTGATCACATGACCACGGGGATGCTGCACCGGTCATAAGTGTGAAAAACAGTCATAAGTCACTCTTCGGTGCCATTGTAACTTTAAATGGTCATTAAATGAAGCATTGGTAAGTCGAGGCTACCTGTAATCTCAGCCTTCACCTATCCATCACCTTCAAGCCCCATGTCCAAGACCCCAAGTAGGCCTTACCTCTTCCTGGGCTTCATATATGGCTGCCGCGATATTTGGCAGTTCCTCCGTCAGGACCTTGTGTAAGGTAGCTCGCCTCTCACTGTCTTTCTTTAGCAAGAAGAGGCAACTGCTCTCCTCATGGGAGGAAGCAGAGAGGTTGAGATCGACATTGGTCACTCCTTCAGGGGTCCTATATTGGAGGGATTCAAGGCAACAATGGTTGGGTGACAGTAATTTCCTCAAGCCCAGCCACCCACTCTAAAAACCACAATGGAGAAGATCCAGTTGGGAAACTCTGTTTAATAACCAAAGGTGCTTTTTTTTTTCAAGAGGCAACTGGACTTTCTGGTTTTTCTTTGAAGACCTTTTGTTCCTCATCCAAGAAGCTTCTTCAGCTCAGGTGGAGGATAGAAGGATTTATATTCCTTGCAGTCATCTGGTCATTTGCATTCTTTTAGAGAGTCACTGAGGTCACTTGGAGGTTTAATCTTTGTCCTCAGGGTCACCTGAGTTGTGCAAATGGGGATTGGAGCCTCCTTGGAACTGCTGAAAGGACTGTGTTGTAGACCTGTGCTTTCTGCAGGATGTTTTCTGCCCCGGCACAGGCTGTTGGGGATGCAGACAACACAGACTCAAATCCTTCCATTCCCCACCATCCAGTCAGAGCCGAAGAAGCTTCTTGGATGAGAAGCGACACGTCTTCAAAACCCCCCCACAGAAAATCCAGTTGCCTCTTGAAAAAGCACCTTTGGGACAACCATGACCTGGATGACTGAGACTCTCCATAGACATCTCCATTTAATGACAGCCTTCCTGTATGTGACCAATTGAGGAGAAGCGAACGAGGGTAAGGCAATCGGTGTCTCATGGACGATTGCAAAAATCACAAGAGTATGACTAATTTGACAAAGGACATCAGATAATGCGTCTATTCTCTCCCAAAAATGTTCTGTGGAGGATCCTCTGTGCTTGTGAGCATTAGTAGGCACTAGGTGGCAGTCCAATTCTTTCATACTTCTCCAGACCGTAATCCATTCTGAGCAGATCAGTGCAGATCTAGAAGCAGACACCAACCAATCATTTAAATTGGCCATGCTCAGCACTTCTTTGTTCGCGGTCACTACTGTCAAAAAAAAGAAGAAGAAATTATCTCTCCTCTCTTTCTCTCCTTCTCCTTCCCCCTTCAAAAAAATATTTGTTATGCGAGTACTAGAGCGCATAACACCAGAGAGAGATCACTGGAAGGCAAAAATCACAAAACTGTCTCGCATATCCCAAAGGTGATTTTTCAGGAGGCAACTGGACTTTCTTGTTTTTTCTCTTGAAGACATTTCACTTCTCATCCAAGAAGCTTCTTCAGCTCGGACAGGATAGTGGGGAATGGAAGAATTTATATTCCTTGCAGACAATTGGTCATTTGCATCCTTTTAGAGCAGGGCTGTCAAACTCCTGGCCCACGGGCCAAATGTGTCACATACTGGCCATGCCCACACCCGGTTTAGCAAAGGGGGGGGAAACTCTCAATACGTCACATGATGCCGCCGTGTCGTGAGTTTGACACCCCTGTTTTAGAAGGTCCTTAAAAGCACTTGGAGGTTTATCTGTGTCCTCAGGTCACCTGAGTATCATACAAAAAGCTTCTTCAGCTCTGACTCAATGATGGGGAATGGGAGGATTTATATTCCTTGCAGACAATTGGTCATTTGGTCATCCTTTTAGAGGGTCGTTGAGGCCACTTGGAGGTTTATCTGTGTCCTCGGGGTCACCTGAGTAAGTGCTCCTGGTTCCTGTATAGTCTGCAATTTGTCCTCTGGAAATTCATTCCTACTCCCATACTATTCAAAGGGTGTTCATCCCAAATTGTATAGCTAAAAGTCTGTAGAGATTCTCAGTCATCCAGCCATGATTATCCAAAAAGGTCCTTTTTCAGGAGGCAACTGGACTTTCTTGTTTTCTCTTTGAAGACATTTCACTGTGTCTCACTTATTTTGGCCATTTCATGTGGGGGAATTCAGTAGAGAAAGTTATTGTGCTTGGAAGAGAGAGCAGTAAAAGGAAACCGGGCCGCCAAAGAACATGGTGGCTGGACACCACCAAAGCTGATACTGGACAAAAATACATACTTGGCTTGAAAAATAATAATAAAGGAACATGCAGATTTAAAACCAGAAATATTTCTGTTGGGTATCACACCAGAAAAATATAATAAAGGGACTATGTATCTAATATTACATGTGTTAACAGCGGACAGAATTGTATTTGCACAACATAGGAAAGGTGTGGGGATCCCTACCGAAGAGAAGATAATAATAATAAAAAAATAGAACGTGCAGAAATGAATAGATTAACACTTGAAATTAAAGAGAAGGAAGATACAGAATATTTTGAAACATGGGATTCGTTTTATCAATGGTTAACTAATAGAAACAGAAGTTAGAACATTTAAAATTATAAGAGAAGAATTAAGTTTACTATGTGGGTTTATTATGGAATGTTTATTATTAATATGATTTATCATTAACAATTAAGCATTAATATTATGTTGAGAAAATACTGTTATTATATGATTACTAATGAACATTATGATGACTGTTGCTCAAATTAACTCTAACCAGACAACACAGTTTATATAGACATTGAAACTGTTGCTCTTTTATATAGTAAAAATAAAAAATAAAATAAAAATTAAAAGGCGATACCAACAACTCAGAGGAGTGCAAGATTGGAAGAGATATCTGGCCCACAGAATTGCCAAGTGCTGAACACAACCGAATGGACATCATCATCATTATTATCTTTTTCCCAAAAAGAAGGCAGCATCATATTACCTCAGATAGTTGTTCCCCTGGTTCACTTCACTGGAGCTTCGGGATAAAACAATATTCTCCACTTGGATTTTCAGGGACTGCAAGGAAGAAGAACGATTTCTGGGTTCTGCAATGCCTTCTACTGAAGTGGACCTTCTGGGCTTGTTGGACACCAATGGATCATCTGAACAAAGAAGAGAAAAAAGGGGCCAGTAACTGAGAAGAGACGCCATGCCCAGACTCTCAGAATCTCCACCTGGCTTGGCTCCTTCCCTCACCTGCCATGGCTGGGCTCCTGCATTTCCTCCTGTTCCTCAAAAAGGGCTCCTGAAGCAAAGCTGCCGCCGTCGATCGCTTGTCTGGATCCGCCTCAAAACATTTCAGGATAAAATCCTTGGCTTCATCAGACATGGAACCGGGTATCTCTGGGTGGATCTTGAACATCCCCACCTGAAGAAAAGGAACTGACTAGCCATAGCACACAATCCTTTAGTTTGTAGGATGGTGGGAAATAAGATACTTTGCCTGCTTTTGACTGGAGAAGGTGAGGGTTGAACCCAAGAGCTTTCACAGCCAAAGAAGATAGCAATAGCACTTAGACTTATATACTGCTTTATAGTGCTTCACAGCCCTCTCTAAGCAGTTTGCAGAGTCAGCCTATTGCCCCCAACAATCTGGGTCCTCATTTTACCCATCTTGGAAGGATGGAAGGCTGAGTCAACCTTGAGCCTGGTGGGATATGAACTGCCAAATTGTAGGCAGCTGGCTGCAGAAGTAGCTTGCAGTACTACATTCTAACCACTGTGCCACAGAAGCTCATATGAAGATGCTCTTCACATGGGAGACTTTAACATAGGGGTGGGATGCTACCGGTTCAGCCCGGTTCTATAGAACCGGTCGCTCCGAAGAGCAGCTGCCACCAAACTGGTTCACTGCGATGAGATTCCAGTCTGCTGTTGGGCCCACCTGCTTACCCGGGCTCCCATAATTACCTTTATCCTGTTTTAGAAGCGCAGCTGCTTTGCGCGGCACAGTAGAGTGCCATGCGGCAGCTGCTGAAACTACCGGGAGAGTGCAGGCTTGTAGAAGGTGAGGTGGAGCACCTCTGTGCCTGCGCAAAGTGTGTGCATGCGTGCCAAAGCGTGTCCACCAAGCCACGCCCACTGAACCAGTGGCAAAACGGTTTGAATCCCACCCCTGCCTTAACCCAGTGTTTCTCAACCTTGGCGACTTGAAGATGTGGGCACTCCAACTCCCAGAATTCCCCAGCCAGCCTTGCCAGCCAGAACTGAAGTCCATTCATTCAACAGAATTCTGGGAGTTAAAGTCCAACCCAGCTTTGCCTTAAACCAAGGCAGTGGCTGCCTTGATAGCAGCCCTAGTAATGGGTTGGAAGAAGCAGCCAGTCGTTGAAAGAGGCTTGTGGCAACTGCAGAGGATTCAGGGACAGATTGCCAAAGCTGCTTATTGAAGTGTTGGGATTCAGCTTTTTAAAACCACTGGTTCGGTGGGCGTGGCTTGGTGAGCGCGCTTTGCATGCGCAGAGGGTTTACTACTGACCTTTTCCTGCAACCCTGCACTCTCCCTGTGTGTTCAACAGCTGACGTGTGGCAATCCACTGTGCTACGCGAAGCAGCTGAGCTTCAAAACCAGGAAATAATGGTCAGCACAGAGCCGGGGCAGGCATGTAGGCAGGCCCAGCAGCTGATCGTCAGAACAAACCGGTTGGCTCACAGTTGATCCTCGGAGCTACCGGTTTGGACGAACCAGCAGAATGCCACCACTGGATTATTGTCTTGTTGCCTACACTTAGCAGAAACAAGGAACTTTTGTTTCATTTACTGACTTGCAGGAAAGGGTGGAATTCGGGAACGTGCATGAATGTTTAGAATAATGATTCCTGTTATTTTTGTGGCTTATTCTTTGCGCACAGAATTCCGGGCAATGGGCATGGTCATACCTTCCCATCTTTCCTGACTTCACCGATATGTGAGGTAGGCCAAGTTGAGAGGCAGTATGACTGACTGACCTGCAGATACTCAGTGAAATGAAAGGTTGAGTAAGGATTTGAAGCTGGGAACAGTTTATATAGTGAGAGTCTACTTGGTATAATGGTTAAGGTGCTGGTAAAAACCAGGAGACTGGAGCTCTAGTTCCATTTTAGGCATGAAAGCCAGCTGGGCGATTTTGGACCAGTCACTGCTCTCAGACCAACCTTCCTCATAAGATTGTTGTTGGGAAAATAGGAGGAAGGAGCATCAGGCATGTTTGCTACCCTGAGTTACATGTAAAGTAAAAAAAAAAAGACAGGACAAAAAAAATCAAATCAATAAATAGTGGTCCTCATTGTCTTATAGGCCCTACTGCGTTGATTAAGGGAAGGCACCTGCTGTGTTTGGTTTCAGATGCTCTCCCAGGCTGAGTTCCCATCCTTTCTCGTTCCATACATTTCTTGCATTCCCACACTTGGGAATTTTGATGAAGAAACCCCAGACGCAGACAGTCGAGAGTTGATCCCTTTCCCGACCAGCTCCATTAATCTGAAGGACCCAAGACGATTTCTCACTGCCTGTCCAGCCTCACCTTGAACATTGCGGCCTGTGGGCTGCCCAGCTCAAAGAAGGGAGGCTTGCCTGTGGCCATCTCAATGATGGTGCAGCCCAGGGACCAGATGTCGGCAGGCTTGCCGTAACCTCGGGGGCCCTGATCAATGATCTCTGGAGCCATGTACTGCAGGGTACCTACGGGAGGTAAGTCAGGGAGACAAGAGTAAGGCCACACTTGGAATATTGCATCCCGTTTGGGTTGCCATGATGTAAAAAAGATGTTGAGGCTCTAGAAAGAGTGCAGAGAAGAGTAACAAAGATGATTAGGGGATTGAAGACTAAAACATATAAAGAATGGTTGTAGGAATTGGGTATGTCTAGTTCAAGGGTCTTCAAACTTGACAGCTTCAAGACTTGTGGACTTCAACTCCCAGAATTCCTGAGCTAACATGACTGGAGGAGGAATTCTGGGAGTTGAAGTCCACTAGGCTTAAAGTTGTCAAGGTTGGAGACCCCTGCTCTAAATAGAGCCCGTTCCACCTGGTAGGTGATGGTTTAAATCCCTTCCCTTGGTATGCTGGAGAAGCAGGAGACTTTGGGGAGGTCTTTTCTGGGTGGATCCATTACTAGAATATCATCTGAAGTCCAGTTGGTTCCGTTACATCAAGGGCCTTCAAACTTGGGAAGTTTAAGACTCATGGACTTCAACTCCCATAATTCCTGAGCTAACATGACTGGAGGAGGAATTCTGGGAGTTGAAGTCCACAAGTCTTAAAGCTACCAAATTTGAAGACCCCTGGTCTACTTTAATGAAAAGAAGGACTGGGGGAGACATAATAGCAGTGTTCCAATATCTCAGGAGCTGCCACAAAGAAGAGGGAGTCAAGCTATTCTCCAAAGCACCCGAGGGCAGGACAAGAAGCAATGGGTGGAAACTAATCAAGGAGAGAAGCAAGTTAGAACTAAGGAGAAATTTCCTGACAATCAGGACAATTACAGGTAGTCTTCAACTTACAGCAGTTCATTTAGTGACCATTCAAAGTTACAACAGCACTGAAAAAAGTGAAAATGACTTGCGACCATTTTTCACACAACCATTGCAGCATCTTCACGGTTCACGTAATCAAAATTCAGACGCTTGGCAACTGGTTCATATTTATGTCGGTTGCAATGTCCTGGGGTCATGTGATCCCCTTTTGCGAACTTCTGACAAAACAAAGTCAACGAGGAGGCCAGATTTCCTTAACCACTATCTTACTAACTTAACCGCAATGATTCACTTAACAATGGTGGCATGAAAGATCATAAAATGGAGCAAAACTCACTTAACCGATGTCTCACTTGAGAACATAAATTTTGGGTTCAACTGTGGTCGTAAGCCAAGCACTTGACCTATCATCAGTGGAACGACTTGCCTCCAGAAATTTCTGGGTGATCCATCAATGGAGGTTGTTAAGAAGAGATTGGACAACCATTTATCTGAAAATAATATAGCATTTCCTGCTCGAGCAGGGGTTGGACTAGAGCACCTCTAAGGTCCCTTCTCTTACAGGACAGCCACCCAATGCTCCTTGCCAGCAACTGTGCAAGTAAACAATCCCGGATTCTCTTTTTGATGAGCTTGTGTAAGATTACACTTCAATTTTGGTAAGATAGCTAGCTGTCAGGAGGTAGGAGCAGCTTCTGCGCCTTCTACTGAGCGAGACCCTGGAAATCTGCTTGCTGGTTGCAACAGTTCTTGCCTTGGGCAGCTCATAAATCTACTCAAGGCTGGTTTCTCTTTTTGCGAGCTCCCAATTATTGATTGCCCAAACCCTTCTGACACGCTGATCTGAACTTAATTATTTTACTTTGTTCGTCTCTCTCCTATTATTCCTGATCTCTTCCTAGCTGTTCTTCTTCATCTGCCTGGTGAGGTGAAAACAGCTGCCAGGGTCTTTTTAATGCAAAATTGAATCCAGGGAAGATTAGCAACTTGAAAAAACAGCCGAGGTGTCTGCAGAAAGTTTAGTCCCTTCAAGGATGAAGACAAACATTCTCTGATCTTTGGCTTATTGATTGCTGGCATTTTTAATATTGTTGTGCGGCCAATTATATTGCTACCTCTAACGGTGGTTTCTACTGGCAAGCGCTGAGAGGGAGGGAGAGGGAGAGGAGGAGGGAGGGAGGGAGGGAGAGAGAGAGAGAGATGGAACTGAATGGGGCCATTGACAAACAAGAATTTGCCTGTCAGCAATCCAGGAAAATTAATTTGTTTGCAAAGTAAATACAATTTGTGTGGAATGCTGAATGGCAGTTGAAATGAAAATGATGTGCAAGTGTATGCAGGCATGCTCCCGAGAGCGTGCATGCATGTGCGTATAGAAATATGTATCCAAGTGTGTATGTGAGGGGGGGATGTATATGCACTTGAATGTGTTTGGGTAAACTGCAATGCAGTTGAAGATGGTGTAAAATTGCTCATAACTTGCATTTGGGGTAAAAGGTAAAGAAAGGTAAAGGTTCTCTTCACACATAGGTGCTAGTTGTTTCCGGCTCTTGGGAGCGGTGCTCATCTCCATTACAAGGCCGAAGAGCCAGCACTGTCCGAAGACGTCTCCATGCTCATGTGGCCGGCATGACTAAATGCCGAAGGCGTACAGAACGCTTTTACCTTCCCATCAAAGGTGGTCCCTATTTTTCTACTTGCATTTTTACATGGTTTTTTTTTTGCATTTTTACATGCTAGGTTGGTAGAAGCTGGGACAAGTAACAAGCTGGGACAAGTAATGGGAGCTCACTCCATTATGTGGTACTAGGGATTCGAACCGCCAATCTTTCTGATTGACAAGCTCAGCGTCTTAGCCACTGAGCCACCACATCCCTTTGGGGTAAGGAGCAATTAAAACAAGATCCTAATCAAGGAATAGTATATAGGTTCTCCTGCTTGAGCAGCGGGCTGGACTAGAAGACCTCCAAGGTCCCTTCCAGCTCTATTCTAATCTAAAACAAGACCCTAATCAAGGAATTACCAAGTCTGACAAACAATCAAATAGTAAAGAACAGCCTAATCAAGGAAACACTGAAAACACTGACAAGGCAAGGCATTAGTATATAAAAGAAAGAGCAAACCACACTCCCTTCTAGCACTGATGATGCTACCTGGTTTGGCGATGAAATGCCTGCAAAACAACCAACCAAGCTCAGAGAACACCAAGGACTCCATATTTAAAATGTTCATCCATAGACCCTAATCCCTTACCTGTGAATGTCTCAGTGCTTGGGCTGATCCCAGCCAGCCTTTTGGACGTGCCGAAGTCTGAAATTTTTAATACTCCGCTATAAGTGTTGATCAAGACGTTATCTCCCTGCCAAACAATAGAAATGATTGGTTTAGAGCAGGGGGTCTCCAATCTTGGCAACTTGAAGACTTGTGGACTACAACTCCCAGAATTCTTCAAGCGGCTAAGGTTGGAGACCCCCTGCTTTAGAGAACCAGGAAGTGTCCAAGACCCCCAGAGCAGAAAACATGGGGTAGCAATACCAAGCCACCTCCAGAGTGGGGTGGTTCCTCACCTTGATGTCTCGGTGGATAATCTGGTTATCATGCAGGTAACGCAAACCCTCCAGAATTTGCTTCGTGTAGAATACGATGGTTGGCTCGTTGTCTTTTAGAGGACCCCACATTGACCGCAAGAGAGAGGAGAGGCTTCCTATAGGGAGACAGGGGAGGGGAGGAAGAACCAGGGGGATTTAATTAGAAAGGCTACTTTGCACCAGAAATAAACCTTTGACAACCAATTGCCCAACCAATTGGAGGCTGGAGGAGCGTACAGGTGCACTTTGACTCACAAAAGTTCATTTCATGACCATTCAAAGTTACAACGGTACTGAAAAAAGTGACTTATGACCAGAGGTGGTTATTTAGCAGGTTCTGACCAGTTCTGGAGAACCGGTAGCAGAAAGTTTGAGTCATTCGGAGAACCTGCAAATACCACCTCTGACTGGCCCCGCCAATCCTATCTATTCTCCGCCTCCCATTGAGTCCCAGCTGATTGGCTGGGTCTCCTTTGGTTGCCCTGCACAGGAGAACGGAGCTGGAAAGCAGGTTAGTGGGGTGGGGAGGGAATGGGGACTTTGCAGTATCCTTCTCCTGCCATGCCCACCAAGCCATGCCCACAAAGACACGCCTACAGAACCAGTAGTGAAAATTTTTGAATCCCACCACTGCTTACGACCATTTTTCACACAACCGTTGCAGCCCCCCTGCCCGTGATCATGTGAATGAAAGTCAGACACATAGCAACTAATGTCAACTCATAAAACATTTTGTATACACGTTTTATAGTTGTCAAAAAGAAGGGGGGGGGAGTTTCAAAGAGCAGGCAGCAGTGTGGAATCGAAAGTACATTCCATTCATATTTTCTTCAAAGACTGATTAGATGACTGAAGCTTCTGCCGTGCAAAAAAACCTAATTGGAGAGCATGATTGATGAGTCTTGGTTATGGATGTTTTTCGTTGGATGATACACCCAGAAGGGTGTGGGGGGGGGGGGAGCAGGATCAAGGGTGACAGTGAATTACTTATCCCAGAGTTGGCTACGCCCAGGTAAATGCTGGACGTAGAATGTTAACTTCAAATATTTTTTTTTAGTTTTGTGAGTGTAGCTCGAGGCTCATGATTTAATTGGAGTAACTGCCGGAATCCTGACAACTGACTCATACTTACGACGGTTGCAGTCTCCTAGGGGGGGTCATGTGACTTCTGACAAGCAAAGTCAACGGGGAAGCCAGATTCACTTAACAGCCGGGTTACCAACTTACCCGCAGGGATTTGCTTAACAACCATGACAAGAAAATGTTATAAATGGGGGCGAAAGTCACCTGACAGCTGTCTCCTTTAGCAACAGAAATTTTGGGCTGAATTGTGGCCATACGTCAAGGACTATCTGTACTTACTATGTCACAGGGAAAAGAAGTGGAGGAACACAACAGATACAAACTCAATGTAAACCGTTCCAGACTTGATTGCAGAAAGTACGACTTCAGCACAAGAGAGTGGTCAATGCCTGGAATGCACTACTTGACTCTGTTACATCCTCTAACCCCCACTCCTTTAACCTTAAACTATCCACTATTGACCTCACCCCATTCCTAAGAGCTCTGTAAGGGGCGTGCATAAGTGCACCATCGTGCCTACCGTCCCTGTCCTATTGTCCCCATTTATTTGTACCTATTTCCTGTATTCTTACTCATGTTTATACTTATACCTATTATCTTGTAAGCGATTGACAAATCAAACAAATAAAATAAAATAAAATAAAATGTCACAAAGGTGGAGCCAGAGTTTTCTGTTGGGTTTTGCAGAAAGAGTTTTGTAGAAGTATGTAAAACAGTCTGAGCTTGACATGTTTTGCTTCTCTCTTTAAGAGTTTGGGGGCTTTTTTCTTCATTTTATAGCCCACATTAAACACAAGTCAACGTTCGTGGGTTTTTTCTCATAGCCAAACAGCTGCAAAATGTACTGCTTGCTTTGGCAATTAGATCTGGAAGAGGTTCCAGGAGGCAGAACAAAGAGCTGAAGATGTTTACCCAGAGTGACAAGAAGCATTTACTTCCTGATCCTTAGCATAATTGATCCGTGCCTGCTGTGTCTTCCTGAAGGCCCTCATTTTAATACCCACAGTAAGATGGTGAAGGATGAGCCATTGGCATCTGAGCACGCATTTTATCAAAGCTAAATTTCCCAAACAGGTATGGGAATCAGGACTCGGTTTGTGCAACCTTTTTTTAGCACATTCACAAATTTTGCGGTGCAATTCACAGCTCAGGAAAGGTGCATATGAAAACATGAAAATACAAACATGAAAATACAAAACAAAAATACAACGGAAACAAACTCAGCCCATCAGAACCAAAACAAGCAGTTTAAGAATATAAAGTGCATAATTCTACTATAATATACCATTACAGTTCTTATTTTGGCCATTTCATACTATGTTTCATACTATGAATTAAGCAAATAATAGTTATAATCCGAATGTATAACACGATGTAGCCAAAAGAGATTATACTGTATGATAGTTGTAACTAGGATGTATAACATGATGGAAAAAAGGGGATTTGATATAACCAGTACACAACATCGTTGTATAATTGGAACTGTTATGTATATCAAGGAAAAATGTACAATAAAAATATTTAACAAAAGAAGAATACAAAGTGCAAAAAAGGTGCGTCCCAGGAGAGAAATGCTCACCAAAACTGGCAGAGATTTTCACATGGACTTTTGCAAAGAGATTTTGCAAAGTGGGGGGAGAGAAAAATGTGCAGAAACAAGGTGGGAAATTTAAAAACTGAGCAAAATCACATGATACATCCCGTTTGATTAAGTTATGTCTAGTACTGACAGAAAATCATTGGCACAACTCCTGTCTATCACTTGTTTCCAACTCTCCTTTAGTGTGTTTTTATATTGCAACCCATCTCACCTTTATTTATAAGGAAAGAGAGTGGGAGCCACTGTAAAAACCCAGAAACACCCAATAGTAGCAAATAAATATAGCAAAGAAAAGGGCATTGGGAAATGGCCAAATTGTCAACGACATAGAACAATCCAGCCAAAGTTCAATTCTTTATTTGCTCATAGCACAGAGACAGACCCATGCTACCCTAATCTAATGGATATACCCTGAGAGATTCCAGGAAGTGGCTATCCTCAATCTCCTAAATGTCCTAAAGGTGGTATCAAACAATCAGTGGAATGACTGGACTTCAGAAGTCGTAGGTGTGTCATGCTCCTGGTGGAGACTGACTCGGAGGGAGAGGAGGAACAGCCGACAGGGAGTGGAAGTGTGGCTCCAGAGGTGGTGGAGGAGGCTGGGGAAGGGCAGACGCCGGCTGGGCAGTCAGAGGAGGATCCAGGCCCATCCCCTCTCCATCCTAGAACACGCAGGGAGGAGAGGATAAGGGAGAGGCATGGTCTCCTCAGGAGGAGAGGGCCTTGATCCTCTTCATGGGCTGCAGCTGTGACAACTGGATAAGAGAACAGTTATGCGTACAGGCGAATGCTGGAAACAAAGCATGGAAATATCTCTAGTTTATAGTTCCTCTCTGAGGTTGCCGTCCTTCCCAGTGTGTGTTCTGATATTTGTGGATGTCTTCAACCCTTATCTTGCCTGGTTTGTGTTGTTTTTTACTCTTTATGATTTAAACGGCATTTCCTCCTTCTTGTAACTGCTTGTATGGGAGTTTTTTGTCTCCAGTCAAGGATATTTGGAGCTTGGAAGCAAAGGAAAGGAATAAAAGGGGCTTCACCTGTTTTTTGTGACTGTGTTTATTTTGTATCCCACCCTGGGTCATCACAGGGTGGCTCATCACTGGAAGCTTTCAAGAAGAGACTGGACGCCATTTGACTGAAATGGTACAGTGTCTCCAGCTCGAGCATGGGTTTAGAGTAGGTCAGGGGTCTCCAACCTGTGGGCCATGAGGAGATTGCAACCAGGGCACAGAAATGGCCAGTGAGCACATCTACGTGCACATCCTCCCTTGTGAGAGCGTGTGCGCACATTCTCCATCTTTGTGAGTGTGCATAAACGCTGCTCGTGCAAATGGAGCTGCACGTCTACGCACTTGCCAGCTGCTCGCATGGAACCCTCCCCTCCCTGCCAGTCTGCAAAGCCAGAAATGTTAGGGAACTCTGCACTAGATGACCTCCAAGGTTCCTTCCAACTCTGCTAATCTATGTTCTATGTTCATCATCTTCATGCCATTCGGTTCTGCGTCATGCTCTCTCTTGTCTCTCCCACCTCTCCTTGGACTGTGCTTCCTCCCTTCCCGAGTTTCTCTCTGTTGCCTTACCGTAGTCCAGAGGTCTCCAAACTTGGCAACATTAAGACTTGTGGACTTCAACTCCCAGAATTCTCCAGCCAGCTAGAGTTGAAGTCCACAAGTTGCCAAGTTTGGGATGTGATGGACTTGCCCTAGTCCATCACACCACCTCCCCTTTTGTAGAGACATTCCTTCACACACAAAGAATTACTATCAGAATTCTAAATATAAAAAAAAAATAGTGGAGGAAAAAAAATCAATGGGGAATTAAGGGAAAACTAAGTTTTGCTTGGAGATGAAACTTCCCGTGGGTTAGACAACAGTAGTTAAAAAAAAAAAAGCCTGCGATAGAATGTGCAACTGGAGAAGGGGTGGGCAGGGGAGTTCTGGTGGGATCATTGTGGTTTTCCAAGAAGGAGGCACCAGGGGTGGACTTCAAAAATTTTTAGCAAAATTTCTCTGCCTGGTTGCTGGATGGGCGTGGCCATGGTGGGCGTGGCCTAGTTGGCCTCCTACACCATGGCGGGGGAGGTGTTTT